CAAACACTCTTCGTGTAGATTATTAATAAAACAAATACTCTTCATGTAGATTATTGATAAAACAAACACTCTTCGTGTAGATTATTAATAAAACAAATACTCTTCATGTAGATTATTAATAAAACAAACACTCTTCGTGTAGATTATTAATAAAACAAATACTCTTCGTGTAGATTATTAATAAAACAAACACTCTTCGTGTAGATTATTAATAAAACAAATACTCTTCGTGTAGATTATTTATTCTCGAATCAAAGTTTCTTAATGTAGATTATTAATTTTCATGGAATGACACATGATCTGGTTTCTGTAGATTGGACTAAAGATTTGGGAGGGGATCCTGAACAGACGTGGGAAGCATTTAGGGGGAAATGTATATGCATACAGAACATACATATTCTCTATAGAAAAAGAGCGCAACGGAGCAATATAAGCCAGTGTGGTTTAGTAAAGGTTTAAGAGATCATATTAGGGATAAACATAATAAATTCAATAAATTTAAACTTACTGGAAATAATAAGGGCTTGGAAGATTGTAAGAAATCAAGAGAGCTGGTTAAAAAGGAAGTTAAAATGGCAAAACTGTATATGAAAGAGGGTTTGGCTGAGAGATTTAAATCAAACAATAAGGAATTATCTAGGTATACAATGGGTGAGTAAAATGTTAGGATGTGGGATTAGCCTCTTAAAATGATAGTGGGAAGCTGATCTCGGAAGATTATGAGATGGTAAACTTATTAAATTATAAGTTCGCTTCAGTTTTTACGAAGGAAGATACAAGTATTATGCCTCAACCAGAGCATTTAATGTATGGGGAAAATATTGATGTGAATTATATCATTTTAAGTTCATCAATTGTAAGAGAAAAGTTTGGAAAACCTCAAAATTGATAAATCCCCTGGACCAGAGAACTTTTATCCTAGAGAGTTTTAAAGAAACTTAAAGATTTTATTGGTGAACCACCAACTAATATTTTTTATAGGTCACTGAGTAGCAGAAGAGTATTAGAAGATTGGAAGTTGGATAATGTTAGTCTAATGTTTAAAGGAGGTGATAAACATTGCCCAGGTAATTATAGGCCAGTTAGTCTTACATCAGTAGTTGGAAAGGTTTTGGAGAATGTAATTAATAATGCATTGCAGAGTTACTTATAGCAGTTTGATATTGTGTCAAAGAGCCAGCATAGTTTCACTAAGGGAAAGTCTTGTTTAACAAATCTTCTGATATTCTTTGAGAATGTTACTGTATGAGTTGATGAAGGAAATAATGTGGATTTGGTTTACCTTGATTTTCAGAAATCGTTTGATGAGGTGCCTCACAAAAGAATTGTTATAAAAATTAAATCTGTTGGTGTGAGGGAAATGTTATTAAACTGGATAGAAAATTGGCTGGAGAGTAGAAAGCAGAGAGTAGTAATAAATGGAGTTAGATCTGTTTTTCCTGTGCAGTATTATTAACTAGATACCCGTCCCCTGGACGGAAGTTATGTAAATTCATGATTAATGAAAGGTTATCTTAGGATATGAAAAGTTGCTTCCCTTATATGTAATTGAAAAAAAACGCAAAAACGCCCATAAAAGCTGCAATACACAAAATGTGAAACCGCAAATTTGCATTACAAACCTTCATGCCAAATTTGGTGAATATCCGTCAACAGCGAGCGAAGTAGAGATACAAAACACGAAAATGCATAAACGCTCATAAAAACCGCAAAACTGAAAAGTTGTATGTACCCTCCATGGACCTAATGAACCTCCACACCAATTTTAATGAAGATCCATTTACACCCTGCGAAGTAGTTACATGGATTTACAACAGACGGTACTATTATATTTATATAGAGTAACTAGAGTCTGTCATTTAAATTGTTGTTAAGGTTCTTTATGTGGATTATTATTGTTAAACCAAAGGTTCTTTATGTAGATTATTATTGTTAAACTAAAGGTTCTTTATGTGGTTTATTATTGTTAAACTAAAGGTTCTTTATGTAGATTCTTAACGATATACTACAGGATCTTTATCTAGATTCTTAACGTTATACCAAAGGTTTTTCTATCTAGATTATTACTGTTAAACCAAAGATTCTTTATGTAGATTATTATTGTTAAACCAAAGGTTCTTTATGTAGATTATTATTGTTAAATCAAAGGTTCTTTATGTAGATTATTATTGTTAAATCAAAGGTTCTTTATCTAAATTACTATTGTTAAATCAAAGGTTCTTTATCTAAATTACTATTGTTAAATCAAAGGTTCTTTATCTAAATTACTATTGTTAAATCAAAGGTTCTTTATCTAAATTACTATTGTTAAATCAAAGGTTCTTTATCTAAATTACTATTATTAAATCAAAGGTTCTTTATCTAAATTACTATTTTTAAATCAAAGGTTCTTTATATAGATTGTTTATTGTTATGTTCTTTATGTACATTATTATTTTTAAACCAAAGGTTCTTCGTGTATATTATTATTGAATCAAAATTTCTTAAAGCAGATTATTATTAAACGAATGCTTATTGATTTACATTATTATTAAAACTAAGGTTCCTTCATATAGAATATTAATATGAAATCAACATTTCATGTACAATATTATTGTGAAACTAACATTTTTTCATGTAACATATTTTTACGAAAACAACTTTTCTTCACATAGAATATTATCACGAAACCAACATTTCTTCATGTAGAATATAATGATGAAATAATCTTTTCTTTATGCACAATATCATTATGAAACCAAATTTTCTTCATGTAGCTTATTATTTTTCAGGTGTGGTTTCAGAATCGTCGAGCGAAATGGCGAAAGACGGAGAAGTGTTGGGGGAAAAGTACCATAATGGCCGAATACGGACTGTACGGTGCAATGGTTAGACACTCGCTTCCTCTTCCAGATAGTATTTTGAAGAACAACAAAGAAGGGGAAATGTGTTGCGCCCCGTGGTTGTTAGGTACGTACAACTGATGTCATGGCAACATATGGCCGTGGTTGTTAGGTATGTACAACTGATGCCATGGCAACATATGGCATGATTGTTAGGTATGTACAACTAATGCCATGGCAACTTACGACCATGGTTGTTAGGTATGTACAACTGATACCATGGCAACATATGGCCGGGGTTGTTAGGTAGGAACAACTGATGCCATGACAACATATGGCCGTGGTTGTTAGGTTGGAACAACTGGTACCATGACAGCATATGAGCATGATTGTTAGGTATGTACAACTAATGCCATGGCAACATACGATCACGGTTGGTAGGTATGTACAACTGATACCATGGCAACATATGGCCGTGGTTGTTAGGTAGGAACAACTGGTACCATGACAGCATATGACCATGTTTATCAGGTAAATACAAATGGTGTCATTAAAACAATTAACCTTGTTAGAAAAAATTAGCACGTAAAAAAGGTATATTTAATGTCTTGGCAATATTTTAATAACGTTCTTTAGGAAATTTTGAGTGCATATTATTTTAATTAAACATTTGATTTCCACTTAAGAAAAACATTACAACCCGTATTTTTATAACTATCATCATCATATTGTGTACAATATTTCTCTAGAATGTAAAGAGTATATTTTCATTGTTAATAGATTATCCGAACGTATTGTTTAATGTGTTTTATTGTCACAGTGTTTTATCCAGTTTTAATAGCTATAGAAGTTCCCTAAATTATGTGCTAGAGTTTCTATTCTTGTATCTCACTCTCACTCGTTAAAACAGATTAGACAATTAGGACATAGAGTTTGGTATTACACTCGAAGTGTTTTGTGGATACTGACAAAATTTCATAATCGTTTCTGTTTAAGACAGATGTTAAGAATTCACCATGAGAGAAAACGCAACAAGAAGCAGAGATACTAAATACAGTCAGACATACAACAAGAAACAGAAAGATTAAATACAGACAGACACACAACAAGAAACTGAGAGATTATATACAGTCAAAAACACAATGTGAATTGGAGAGATTATATACAGTGAGACGCACAACAAGAAGTGGAGAGATTATATACAGTCAGACATAACAAAAAGTGGAGAGATTATATACAGTCAGACATAACAAAAAGTGGAGAGAAACATTACAAAGAACAACAAAATTAAATACGATCAGAAATACAACAAGAAACAAAAAGATTAAATACGATCAGAAACATAACAAGAAACAAAAAGATTAAATACGATCAGAAACATAACAAGAAACAAAAATATCAAATACGATCAGAAACATAACAAGAAACAAAAATATCAAATACGATAAAAAACACAACAAGAAACAAAAAGATTAAATACGATCAGAAACATAACAAGAAACAAAAAGATTAAATACGATCAGAAACACAACAATAAACAAAAAGATTAAATACGATCAGAAACATAAAAATAAACAACAAGATTAAATACGATCAGAAACACAACAAGAAACAAAAAGATTAAATACGATCAGAAACATAACAAGAAACAAAAAGATTAAATACGATCAGAAACATAACAAGAAACAAAAAGATTAAATAAGATCAGAAACACAAGAAGTAGTTGTTTTCATCTTATTGAGACCTTTCAGAAAGTTATTTGTTACGTGACAAGTTTGGTTTTAAATGTCTAGGGCTATCCTTGATATTATTTATGAAAGATTTGATTCTCCTCCCACGCGCGTGCATATAAGCACTTACTTGATAGCAGTAGAAACCAAGAGCGTCATAAAATATGCAGATATCGTTAGTTTTTTTTTACTTGGGTTTTACTGTTTAACACCTTAGCTGAACACAGGTTATATACCACTTCCTAACGTCAGTATCTGTGTGAAATAAGACCTCCCGTGAAACACCGTTAAACTACAATTAAGGCCGCCTAATTTAGTAAATGAACGTTTTATTATGGTCTTAATGCCGTCCAGGAAATTACAAATTAGGCCTATTACAAGAAAGTTTATTACACTGATGGATTTGGGAGCCTCACCTATAGAGAAAAAGGGGGAGTCTCTCCAGGGAAATGAGATGAAGTCACGAAAACCGTATCTCTCTCCATCTTCCATTGTCACCTTGTAATTAAAATGCACACACACACACACACACAGATGCCACATGATTTTCAGTGTAATATATCGATTTGACATTCAATAATTAGACTCTTGTTTACGTAAAATTAGGGTTCTTTTTGTGAACAATTAGTGTGTCTCGTCTCACATGTAAAGCACATCTTCAGGTACTTAAGTGAACAGGGTATTCTCAGAAAAACAATTTCTCTTAAAACACTAAAAACGGAGTCTTTCTTCTTTATTAGAGCGATTATTTAAAAGTTGAGAACTTAAAAAGAGAACATAAGATCAGCATTATGACCGTAAAACTTCAATAAAATATATCACTGTAATATCGTGTTTATGTTTGTTGCATCATCCAGGACTTCTCGGAAATTTTAAAATCATAAACATTTTATAACTCTTTTACAACTCCAACTACGTGTTTCAGCACAACATTCAAAGTGACTCTGTAGGTAAATAGGTAAAAACAGACATTTATGTGTTACAAATTTTTACCATTTCCACTACATGTTTGTGTACAGCACTCAACTCTACAGGTAAACATGTAAAAACAGACATTTATGTGTTACAAATCCCTACCATTCCCAGTACATGTTTCAGTACAACAATCAAGGTGACACTCTACAGATAAACAGGTAAAACAGACATTTATGTGTTACATATCCTTACCATTCCCACTACATGTTTCAGTACAACACTCAAGGTGACACTCTACAGATAAACAGGTAAAACAGACATTTATGTGTTACAACTCTTTACCATTCCCACTACATGTTTCAGTACAACACTCAACTCTACAGGTAAAAAGATAAAAGCAGACATTTATGTGTTACAAATCCTTACCATACCCACTACATCTTTCAGTACAACACTCAAAGTGACTCTACAGGTAAACAGTTAAAACAGACATCAATGTGTTACAAATATTTACCATTCCCACTACATGTTTCAGTACAACACTCAACTCTACAAGTAAACAGGAAAAACAGACATTTATGTGTTACAATTATTTACCATTCCCACTACATGTTTCAGTACCTGTTTACCTTTAGAGTTGAGTGTTGTGAAACATGTAGTGGAAATGGTAAGGACTTGTAACACATAAATGTCTGTTTTACCTGTTTACCTGTAGAGTTGAGTGTTGTACTGAAACATGTAGTGGAAAATGTAAGGACTTGTAACACATAAATGTCTGTTTACCTGTAGAGTTGAGTGTTGTACTGAAGCATGTAGTAGGTATGGTAAATACTTATAACACAGAAATGTCTGTTTTACCTGTTTACCTGTAGAATTGAGTGTTGTACTGAAACATGAAGGGGATATGGTAAAGATTTGTAACACATAAATGTCTGTTTTTACCTGTTTACCTTTAGAGTTGAGTGTTGTACTGAAACGTGTAGTGGAAATGGTAAAGATTTGTAACACATAAATGTCTGTTTTTGATACAACACTCAACTCTACAGGTAAACAGGTAAAACAGACATTTATGTGTTACAAATCTTTACCATTTCTACTAATGTTTCAGTATAACACTCAATGTGACACTCTACGGGTAAACAGGTAAAAACAGACAAATCTTTACCATGTTGCAGTAGCAGCATACTTGTTTCTGTGTTGTTAACTTTCTCAATTTCTTCAGTGTTTATTGGTCAGGAACGAAACAAAATATTATTTAAACGTGTTCTACAGGTTTTTAACGGGACCAGTACTTATTGGACAAATCTTTCGGAGTATTGTTATATATCTGTATAATAGATAACCTTCTAACATTATCGAAACCAAATATTGTCAGAAATATTTAATACACAAAGCTTGAAAAAACTCTTACTACATACGAAATTGAACCTTTTATCTCTTCGCTTTACATTTTACACTTTAGCCTAACTCCGCATGAAAATATATTGCATATATTCGTAGAAACATTCGTATGTTGCCCATCTTTAACTTCGAAAACTTTAATGAGAGATCGGGATGACACGGTAAACAAAAAAATATATGAAAAGGGCAATTTCATCATTTTATTGTTGAACTCTAAATACTCATAACGCATGCGTCCGTCACTAAACTTGTTCATATTCAAATTTTAAATTAATTTTATATTTTGTTACAGTGCAAAAACACCAGTGATAAAAGTTGTCATACCAGTTTTTTAGTCACATTATACATTGTACCACAACACACACACACGTATTAATATAACAAAACAAATAGAGTAGTCATGCCAATATCTTTAGTCACATTATACAATGTGCCACAACACACACACGTATTAATACCACAAAACAAATGCAGTAGTCATGCCAGTATCTTTAGTCACATTATACAATGTGCCACAACACACACACGTATTAATATAACAAAACAGAGACAGTAGTCATGCCAATATCTTTAGTCACAATTTACACTGTGCCACAACACATAC